AATCCGTCCGTTATAGTTCAAAATTCAATAAACAATCGGAAACATAGTGAGCCGGATAATTAGAATGAGCAAATGAATGATTTGGATGATGACCCACCTGCTGATATAAATGCACTCCCGTCTGTACCCGTGGCAACACCGTATGCAGCGGTTGAGAACACCGTGGCTATTGTCGCGGGTGTTAGCACGGTTGAGGCATTCGGCATTGGTTGTCGAGAACGGTGCAAGTATTGTGGTGCTAAGTTGTGGAATCATGAAAAAAAATGGACAAAAATATGTTGCAGAAAAGGTACGAGACGTTGTCCTCTATGAGAATGGTCTTGAGAAGGGTCGTCGGAGCATGAGATTCTTTCTATTTGGACGTCTCAGACTCCCGACGGGCGATTCGTTCAAAAGAATGCGAGGATAATCAATAATAGTTTATCTCTCGCATGCTCCCGGTTAAAACAACTGAGCGATGAGGTTCAAGGATTCTAGGGCCAACTTCGGGTTCAGGGTCCGATCTATCATCGTGTCAGTGCATCGGCTGTGGGGGAAGCGGGACGTCCTGAGTTTGCACAACTTTACTTGCACGATCCTCAACATTTGGATGTACAATTGATCAAATAGTGGATTTCCTTAATTTACCTGCACACACGTCTGATGCCGAACTTCAGCAAATGAGACGACTATTAAGAAGGTTTCACGAGTTGCTGCAACAGTGTAACAACTAAGTGAGGGACTTCATGACCATTGCCGACCTTCCGCCGAGAGCGTTGAATGGAAGGAAGTTGGTCATAAATCCAGATGTCATGCCCATGCAAGGCGTTATAACCGTCTGTCGGGGTTACAGGAAGTCTGCATTCTCATGGCGGATGACCTTCTTCCTCGTGAGCTCGAGATTCGTTTACGTGCCCCTCTTCCAGGTGAGCGGCCAACAGTTGTCGTTCCGGAGTGTTCCCGAGCGCAAGACTGTTTGAGGTTTGTTTTACTCTTCCTGGAAAGAATTGATAGTTGGTCTGTCCAACGTGCCTTGGAAGCTGGATGGCCGCCGGGACTCAGTGCGAAGGAGTATTATGCGTTTCACCTACACGAACGCGATGGTGAAAGACCTTGCCTCCTTTATGAGGCGCGTCTTTTCTACGAGTTTTGTTGCATGGTTTACGCTAAGGTTGAATCCCTTCGCTTAAAATGGGTGAGATTCCATCAGAAAGACTTGCGGCCGGAATATTATCAGAACTTGCGAGACGCTGTGCAACAAAATCAACATAGTGATGGTGTCGGGACAAAAAATACTTCCGCCCTCCACCTTCACTAGGGGACCGCGGTATATGACCGAAAGATATCATGACAGCATGGCAATTCTGAGGCGGTTTGGAAAACCCGATCTTTTTATCACTATGACGTGTAACACAAACTGGTCAGAGATCCAACAAGCGTTGTTGCCGGGTTAATCCGCAACCAACAGGCCGGATCTTCTTGCCCGAGTGTTTAAAGATTATCTCACCCAACTCATTGACGGGATTAAGAAAAAAAGGATTTTTGGGAGGGTCGATGAAATGTTGTATGTAGTTGAGTTCCAAAAAAGGGGTCTGCCGCATGCACACATATTGGTTATCTTGCATCCGGATGATAAAAATCCGCGATGCAAATGCTGTTGACAACGTGGTGTGTGCGGAGATTTCGCCTGAAGGGGAATTGAGAGAAAGGGTTGTCAAATTCATCTTGCACGACATTTGCGGTGAGGAGAAAAGTGATGCTTCGTGTATCAAGAACGGAAAGTGCACGAAAGGGTTTCCGAAAGAATTCATTTCCGCGACAACCTTCAAAGATGAACAAACTTACCCTTCGTATAGGAGAAGAAAACCAAGTGACGGTGGTTTTACCGTCGTTCAAAATCGCTTTGTTTATGATAATCGTCGAGTGGTCCCGTACAACCCGTACTTGCTGATGAGGTTTAACTGCCACATCAATGTCGAATGTTGTGCTAATATCAAGGCGTGCAAGTATGTGTATAAGTACCGTGTATAAAGGGGGTCATCGAGTCATGGTTTGCGAACAAGATAATAATGCACATGTCAATGAAGTCAAATTCTATCAAGATATGCGTGTTGTTGGTGCATGCAAGGCATGCTGGCGTCTGTTTGAGTTCGACCTTGCGGAATAGTGACCCGCAGTCGAAAGATTGTCGGTGCATATCGAAAATATGCAAATGTGGTCTTCGAACCAGGCACGGAAGATTATGTTGTCTCCCGCAGACCGCCGAACATAAAATTAACGGCATGGATGAATCACAACTCTTTGAACAAACGTGTTCCTAAACAAGAGTTTCCTTTGTATCCTGAAATTATTAAGACTCATATGTGGGATAATCAACATAACTTGTGAAACAGAGGAAAGTGTGCTCTTCATGGTGCTCCTTTCGAAAAGATATCTCGATTGCAATATGTCAGGGTCACGGAAGGCGAACGCTTCTATCTCCGTGTGTTGCTAAACCATGAACACTCTCGTGGAGCACGTTCTTTTGCGGAAATTCGTACCGTCGATGGAGTCGAATATGATTTGTTCCGATCGGTGTGTCTTTGATTAGGGTTTTTGCAAACAGATGACGCATATAATCAATGTATAGATACAACCGCATTCTATTATATGCCTGCAGAGGTTCGTAAAGTATTCGCTATGCTTCTGCTGTTTGGGCCGGTCAACGATCCTGTTCAATTCTTTTAACGACTTTGGGAAAAAATGTGTGATGATTTTCAGTATCGTGCGCGCTCTCAGATTCTGGCTTCGATCGTTTTGCAATATTTAGTGCTCTTTGATCTTGACCGTATCTTGCATGAGTCTGGCAAAAACATCCACCTGTTCAGTCTTATTATCCGACCCCTGATAGAGAAACGATTGTCGATTACATAAACAGGCATTACGAGAACAGGACTGTGTCCTCAATTATAAATGACGAATTGTCATATGATCCGATTGAAATGCGAACTAAATTTGAGTGTAATTTTCGACGTCTTCGGCCCCGTCAACGAGTGCTGGTGCAAAGAGTTATTCGGGCCGTGGAAGAGAAACAACTGCTTTATGCTTTTGTAGATGCGCCGGCGGGAACAGGAAATATTTTTTGCATAGAAACAATTTTGGCGGGGATCAGGTCGCGTAATGGTATTGGACTCGCTGTGGCGTCCAGTGGGATAGCGACGACTCTTATGACCGGTGGTCGAACATTTCACTCGCGATTTCGAGCACCTTTGAAACCTGATAACACGCATCCCTTCAATATTCCAAAACAGAGTGATCTTGTCGAACTTATCCGCCGTGCCGACTTGATCGTTTGGAATGAAGCTGCAATGAGCAACAAGTTCCACTTGGAAGCTCTTGATATTACGCTTCGAGGTGTCTGTAACAGTAACCTCCCATTTAGAGGAAAGGTTTTGCTTCTTTCTGGGACTTTCGACAGGTTTTGCCGGTTGTGAAACATGGGTCTCGAGCACAGCAAATTGATGCCTCTATCAAAATATCTCCTTTGTGAAAACTTTTTGAGGTTAATTGCTTGACTGAGAATATGCGGATCTTAAGCTTAGGGGATGATGCAATGACGCGAATGTATGGCGTATTTTTTACGCGTATTGGGAATGATGATCATATTCGTTTTGTTCCTAACGAACCTGCCACGGTCAAACTGCCGCATGAGATTTGCACTGATAAACCTATTCGTGATTTGATTTCCTGGACGTTTGAGGATGTCTGTGAACACGTTGAGGATGCTGACTATTTTTACGCTCGATTGATTCTCTGCCCTACTAATGACAATGTGGGTTGTATTAATGACATGGTTCTCAACGATTTCCCTGGCGAGGTGCGTGAAAGTTATAGTGTTGATTACCCTGGTTTTTATGATCATGGACTTGACATCGAGCGGGAGTTCTTAAATTCTCTCGATGAGTCTGGTCTTCCGCCTCACAAACTGCGCTTGAAAATTGGTGCGCCTGTGATGTTGTTGCGCAATTTGTCGCCCAAACAAAGACTTTGTAATG